AAGGGGTACCCAGGTAAAAGTCTCGTTGTATAGATACTGTAATGTGGCTTTTTGCCTTTGATTATTAATCTCTGAGAAGATGTGAGGTATGCAATTTAGGGGTCAGACATTCTTGTTACTCTTCTGCTCTGGAGGTGAGGGATAACTGGCTCTAGCAATGCAGGAGTTTCTTTACAAGCTGATCTTCTGCTTGATGTTTTAAAATAAGTCAAATCTGAAGGTGCTGATTTCTGTTAGGGTTACAGGATGAACAGGTAAAGGTTCAGTAGTAGCTTCTGTGGTCTGATTTTAACATACTATTCTAAGTGTGTCAGGGCCCTTACTGTATTTCCTGTCCTTCAGATAAAATCAAGTTTGTCTAAGGAAACAAATGCCAATAAATGTCTGTGTTTGTTTGGGCTACTGAGCTGAGCTCTGTGTATCTCTTTAGAGTGAACCAGGCAATTATTTAGGTTCCTAGCATGAGTTCTGATGTCCATTTGTAGGCTTCTAAATGTAGGTGAATTCCAACATTGCTGTCTAAAAACCCATCTGTTTTAGGGAGAGTTCTCCTGACATAATTCTTTCCACCTCTTTTTATCACATCCTCTGAGATGCCCATCGCTGTCCATTGGACTGTAGAAAGAGTTGGTGATTACCGTAATCTAGATGTTGAATGACAGACAGCTGAATGTAGTATAAACAAAGCTTCTAAAAATGACACTTGAAGCTTAGTGGTTGACTGCAACATGTCTTATCTATGCTAACTGGAGTTATTGTCATGTTAATTCTGGAATTCCTTGCTTTAAGAAGAAGAAGGTCAGAGTAAAAATGGAAATTCAGTCATGAAGTAAGAAATAAACCTTGAAAATTAGGAGTTCTGTTCTTCACGTTCTTTGTCCTGATATGAATTTTGCTGCTTATGGTTTATGTGGTTATTTCTGCAAAGCCAGTGACCGCTCTTATTGGATGGCTCACATGGGTATGGATGGCACATGCAGTGGGACGTGACACAACTTGAATTACAGCACTAACAGCAGAAAGTATTGCTGTTACTAATTACCACATTAATTCAACACCTAGATTTGGGAGAAGAGGAATTTAGGGAATGGATGAAATCGCTGATTTATCTTTTTTGCAATCTTCCATTCTAGTACTGTTACTCAGAGGATTTCATTTTTGTTATATTTAAGGTGAGAGTAAATTTGGTAGGAGATGAATCCCCTTGTGTTCTAGCCAATTCTCAGAGATTAGAAGGGCTAGGCGTGGCTGGATTTATCTCTTAAGAGCTATGCCAGTTAGGGCTGTAACTATATGTCTGACCCAGATGCCCAAACAGCCCATATGCTGTAGGTCTGGTTCAAGAGCAGCAGTCAGATTCATGAATAGTATGGTTTATTTTTATGCAACGTCTACAGATTCTCTAAGATTGCCTACGATAAATGCACAAACTGCAGGTTGGCTCTATAGCACTACACAAAAATGACACACGCTTAGTTCCCAGGTAATCACTCGGTGTAACTGAAGGAAATCTTACCAAAAGGCATCCCTTGTGGGGGTAGGCAAGAGCAAAAACCCATCCATCTGTCCCTCCGATTTGGTGTGGGATTATTGTCTCTCTGAGTTTTGTACAAACTTGGGGCAGTGTTTATCTTTGAATGTATGTGTGAGGGGGTGGGACTGTAGTCAAGCCATTATCTTTTGAGTAATGACACAGTACATCCTTTGGTGCCAAGGGGCACAGCTGGTTTTTGGGGGGAAAAAGAGGGAGGATGAGGAACAAGGTCAGCAGGCTACTGCAAAAAATCATCCCTTGAGAGAAAAGGGTAGAGCAGGAGGTAAATCTGTCCTTGAGATAGGTGAAAGAACAGGGCCTACACCCCACTTCACATTCCTCCTTGGTGCCACGACAAACACAAAGCACTGGACCTCCATCCTGTCCTGTGTTTATTCCGGGCACCCTGTGTCAAGGAAATACGTGTTTTACAGATTTCTCACTGTTTTGCTTTTCTCACACTTCCAACACCTAACAATTTTCCAATGGAGTATGGAGTGCAAAGTGGTGCTGAGAGCTTTCCTGTTCTCCTGCCTGATACAACCTCTTTCCTCTCCCTCCTCTGTAGGAGAGAAGCCCCAGTTCACTGGAGGCACATGCACACAGCTGCCCTGCCCTGTTCCTCTCTGGAGCGAAGCGGTTTTGGCTGGGGAATGGGGAGGGAGCAGCACAGGACACAGGGGAGCAGGTCAGGGCACAGTATGGTGACTCAGTTTTGATGTCATTTGTTGTCACAGAACTTTTAATTGTGGCACAAGAATTATTTCTGTCTTCCCTGAAGGTGAAATGTAAGGGTTGCAAACCAGTGGTGGGTCCATATAATGTGATTTGAAATGCACCGGATTTTCACCCGGATAAATTCTGAAGTGTGGTCAAGTTTACTCTGGGGCTTTATCACTGTCACAAAGAGTGAAGTCTGGATCTTAGAGCTGAATGGAACTTTTCTTTGCTCTTGGAGAGGTGCAGAGGGATGGAGAACTCGGGTAACTCACACTTCCGACCAATAAAATCCACATCAACAGTATTTATTTAAATAATACTCATACGTTATGCTCTTATTCCTTACTTACCTGTGATATTTTATACCCTCCAGCAGGTGCTGCTGTATCCTGCTAATGTCCTCGTGGAGGAAAACAAAAAAAATCAGTCATTTGATTTAATACTGCGCAGCTGGACTTTGCTCTTTGTTTTGCATCATGAATGTGTCTGTGTTCTCTTGTCTTCCTCAAGTTATTTGCCAGCAGAGTGACTGAGGAGGGAATTTTTATGATCCCAGAATATTTAATCCTGCAAGCACTTTGTGTAAGAAGGGGTTGAAGATCAGTGGGAGTTGCTTATCAAGGCCATGGTCAGAGCAAGTTGAACAGGCACAGGTAGAAATACCTTTGTATTTCTACAAAACAGGGGAGTGTGAGGACTCTCTTAGAAGTAAAAAAATTAATAAAAAAATCCTAAAGTTATAAAAGTTTCTAGTTGGCTCATTGGGGTTTTTTATCCAAGTTTCTTGAGCTTTAGTAGTTTAATCTCATAATTTTAAATCAGTCTTACCGTTAGCTGGTCTTGAATGGTAGAAATTTGCAGGAGAGATTACACAGCCACACATTTCAAATCTCTTATTTAGGGTTTCCACGTGCAGAACTGTAGCTGAGTTACATGCAGAAAACATAAAGAGGCAGTGTGCTTCATTCTGTTTGCTGGTGGACCACTTGTGCCAGGCAGGAATTTATGAGTAGTAATAGTTGAAATAAGGCCTTGATGTGGGTTACATGTCCTTGTAGTCCTTGAGTTGTGTCAGGCCAGAAATGTACTCATGAGCGATGAGCTCTCGTTGATCTCTGATACTTACTTGTGTCTCTGGTACTGTATTGCTGGTTCCATGTGGGGAACTGAAATTCCGCTGTAGTGTTTTTCCTCACTGTTACAGTGATTTGGTTGTGACTATGATTTTGTCACTTTGGGGGTTATCCAGGAGCCTTAGAAGGTGATTCCAAGTTTAATAAGCTGAAATATTGGTTTGCTTTTGATATTTATTAGTAATCTACAGTGTTCAGTATAAGAATAATGACATTAGACTGCAATCATAAATGTCAGGCAAGCAGCACCTGCTACTCTACCATGTGGAACAGCATGTGTTCCCCTGGTCGTTCTGTTTGGAGATGGCTAGAATTACAGTCTTTCTCTCTAACCTCTCTCCTGTGTTTCTTTCAGAAATCCACCCTGGCTGTGGAAGTTATCTTTCAGGAAGTCACAAGGATGGGTCACAAGGAAAACACCTTTATTTTTCCTTTTGGCTCAAATTCAAAAGGTTAAACATAATTAGATTATAAGAATTCTCATAATAATCTACATAATCCAGATGCAGTAAACAGATAAAAAATCATTAGTCAATAAATTCTAAAGTTCTCATGACTTCAATAAATTCAGATTTGGATTTTTAATGAGTTTCAGCTCATTTGATTTCAGATGCTCTGGAATGCGTATCTGTCTTTGAGAGGAGTTCATTTTATGCTAAAGCAGGAAGTATTCATCCGCTTTGATTCTGTGGAGTTTGGTGTGTGTCTCCATTCTTTAGAGAAAAGGAACTGTGTAGACAAGGTGGCTAACTAGATTGCTAAAGTCAAGTGGTATTAACCCAACTTTGGCAACTTGAGTCTGTGTCTTATGATATGGAGATATATAACTTAAATGTGATTCTAAGGAACTGGTATATTACGTATACATAATAACACTTAATGCTTATTCAGTGCTTTCTTTTTCTATTTCAGGGCAACTCACAAGACTTTTTATAGTTTTGGTTCTAGTTTATGTATGAGAGGATGAAGTTGCTAAATGTGAAGGGAGTGGTTCAAGGTCCTCAAGTGAACCAGTGGAAAACTGGAAGGAAAGTTGGATATGTTTTTCTTGTGAATATAACACTTCATTTTTTTTTTAGTTTTTATTTTTTTATAAATGATCATCATTTGTTGATGATGTTGTACGTAACCACTGAAACGCTGCAGATGATTGAAAATATGAGTAAATGGGTGAAGTCTGTATTTCTACCTCTTTACACAAAATCTACTTAAGATTTTCAGTAAAACTATTTTTGACTTCCTATGAAAGAACACATTTATTTTTACCATAGCTTTCTAGTACTGGCAGGTGCTTCAGGTGTTTTTTGCTATACTTAGCCAGGCTCTATCTGGAAGAACAAGTGATTACAGCTCCTAAGATATAGTTACCAGCAGTCAGATCAACAAAGGGGTTAAAAGTGATACAGCCCTATCTTCTACTTCAGTGAATGTGTAGTTGTTGATTTAAAGCTCTTGGTAAATGATTGTTGGAGATCTGCCATGTGTAGCAGAGCATTCAGAAAGCACACCACAGACTCTGCTTCCTCCTAAAGAGCATTTGTCTGTCAACATCACACTTTAATTGTAGTCTTTTAAGGTACCAGAAGACAGGCAAAACTCACCAGCCAGCAGTCATGGAAGATCAGGTCTTTACCAATGTATATCAAAATGTTGACAGCACCAATATCTATGAGATTCCAGACTCTGAGGAAGACAAAAGGGATAATCTTTATGATTGTGTCCATGAAGATCCACCGTCCCTTTCTTCCATCACTACTATCCCAGAGAGCATGGACAGCAGTCAAGAGAGCTCAGAAGATAGCTGTAGTAATTCTGTGGCCTCTCAGCATGGAGCTGATGGGGAGGATGGTTCTTCTTCATCTCACCATGGTGCGGAAGAAGACCACCCATACCAGGAGGTGGATCTGATGAGCCCAACTCTGGAAGATAAACACGTAGAGGGCACGATGTTTGAGAGCAACGTGCATTTTCCTCCATATTTCCAGTTGCGTCGGAGCCAGAGCAATTCTTCCAACTCTCCAACTTCCCTCAAGTTCCCCCTTAACAATAACTTTGGAGAAACCGACAACTTCCAGGCAGATTGTGAGATTTTCATGTATGTAAAGGTAAGAGCTCTGGTGCTCCTAAAAATAGACTAGTTTTAAACCCTAAATCAACATATGTGTCTTCCAAATCAGTAAAATACAGCTACCCACTGCTTTGTTCTCAACTCTGCTGCCGGGGTGCTGCAGGGAGCCAATCCGTTCACTTGCCTCTTGCATCTCAATGCACAGAAAGATAAGATTTGTTTTGTGTGGAGATGCCTGGGATTTCTTCACTTCAAGTGGAAGTATGAGCATGGTGAAAGTATTCTGAGTGTTGCTGTGATTAATTTATTCTATGAAATCTCCCTTCTGTTACAGCTAGACTAGCGATACCTGAGCTGGTTTAGTTAAACTAGTACAGCTATCCCTGCGTTTCCTATCTATCTAGTACCTAATAGCTCAAAAATGATAGTTATGAATGCTACGAAGAAAACTGAATTTATAGTTTGAATAAGGGCAATAAAATTTCCACAAATGCCCATCCTTGAAAGAGGTCTGTCTTTTATTTCTTTCAATATTTAGATTAATGTAGTTCTATGACAATTTTAACATCTATTTTTCATTCATTTCAAGTTAGGTATAAATTACTGAGGGGACTCTCACACTTTCTTCAACCTTGTAAAGTACTTAAGATTCTAAACCATAAACACCTGTGTTCTTAAATAGCGCTCAACTTCCCTTCATAAAACCTCTTGTATTCAAGCATTTTCAATATTTATTAGGCCGTAACACAGACCTGGCAGTTCTTTCTTTTTAACTGTGTAAGAGATAAATTTTCAAGTTCTTATTTCCCTTGAATAGGACTGTACACCATGAGTGTAATTCTCTGTTATTTCAACAGAAGTCTTGTGAAGTTTGTCACTTTTCAACATAAATAAGATTATCAGAATCTGTTCCTCAGTTCCACAGGTGCTTTGAAAACAGAATAAGAGATTTTGTTACCACATGTAGTGAAAGAACGGTTTTCGGTAATGTCTGCATTTGATTAAATCTAGTTTATTTAAGCAAGAACACACTATAACCTTTGCATTAGTGTGAGATGCTGATTATCTTGTATGAGCTAGGGGAGATCAGATGTCTTGGTGGAATCCTTTACTACTTCATTTGGTTTCTGCTGTAAAACTGAATTTCTCTGAAAACAGAGTTAGTTAAAAGTTTATCCTACATTTAATTGTAGGGTAAAGGAGAGCGCTTTCATAAAGTGTCAACAGAATCTTGAGATTCTTTTGAATGCATTAAGAAATTTATAATTTAAATATTTTTCCTCTGAGTGATGTCTGTCTGTAGATGAATAGTTGATGTTATTCCCCCTTCACATCTCCCTTCTCTATGTGACAGTCTCTATGTGACAGCTTTTCTAACTCTTGTGTAAAGTCAAATCATTGAAGTTATTGATAAATTAAAACCAAACAAACACACCATCCAGAAATGACTGTCAGGTAACTTAGTCTTATTATGCATAAGAGAATCCATAAAACTTCAGCCATTTCTCTTGAATTTCAGTATAACTGCAACTACTCTTGCAAAAAGGTGTGTATCCTTCAGGAGAGGGACTATCTATGAATTGCTGGGTCATGAATTGTTCTGGGTCCACATGTACTGCCACAAGGGGTTTTGTACTGTTTTCTGTGTCGTGTGTGAGGGCACTTTTTCTTATCTTCAGAGCACTTACGCTCTGTGACTCTTTGAAGCAGCAGCTGTCCTGTATCTGTGACTAGATCATGGTCATTGCTAAAAACATGTTAATTATATGGACAAAGTAAGCTCACTGGTGTTGGTTCTAATTCACATCTCTGCTTGTAGTCCTGCATACATATTTTAAAAGTTGCACAAATTGAGTATATTTTGTTTGTTAGTGCTTCATGGTATTAGCAACATTAGTGGTGTGGTTTGGCTGTAAAATAATCTCTCTCTATTCCTTATTCTTCCACGTTCTTCTTGTTTCGAAATAACGGTGTCCTCTCTTTCTATGCATGAGGAAAGAAAATTAGTGCAGATGTTCCCATTCAAGCAGAGATGATGGGGTTAATTTGAATTTCTGAAAAGTGAGAAGAGAGGCATTTTGAAAAGAACTGTCATGGAGAAGGACAGAGGAAGTCCTTTTCCTTGCTTTTGTGGTGCAGAGTAGCTGACTGTCCCATGAAGGGGCTTATCAGCTAGTCTAGAGAGAAGCAGAAACTTTGGACTCTATTCACTTGCCAAAGCATAAGTGCCTGGTGCCTTTGAGATGTCCTTGAGCCCCAGGACATCCCCACCTGGCTGGAAAATGAGACTTGAGGCTTTGAGGTGATCCATGCTGTGATCCTGCTCCAGCAGGAGCTGAGGCCTGAGGGGCCAGGCACTGGATGCTTCTGGGCGGGTGGCTGACCTGAACTCCTACAAACAGCGTTTTATTCCTTGAGAAATTGATGACATTTCTGGATTTTTGTTTTTCTTTCTTTCTGGTATCGAGGTAATAAAGCACTAACTCCGTGCAGTGCAGATCCAGGTTTGTTATCTTTAATTATCCAGATAGCAAAAGTCAGCCTATAAAACGGAAGGTCATAGAGTAATATATAACAAGAATTGTGAAACTTGAGGGCTATCACTTCTTGCACATAGGAACCAAATCTCTGTTGTGTCAATGCTGTTATTCACAGACTGTTCCCTCCTTGTACGGTCTCTAGTCCACCTGAGGACACTGTTGCTCTGAAACTGGGTTCATCTTCTGGATTTGCTCTTTTCTGCAGACATTAACAGTGACAGGAGGACCTTTTGCTGTGTGACAATAGGGGTAATGACAATTCTGCCACTATTTGTTCCTTCCTTTGTTTGTAGCACTAATAAATCTCTGTGAGTGACTGGAAATGTGAGTGTCAGACAGAGGTTGACTGAAAAACCAGAGAAAGTGGGAAGATTAAATGGTATCTAATTTACAGTCCAGCTGGCTTAGTTGCAGTGCACTGTCTAGAATAGAAATTTAACTTCATCAGAATATTTTAAGTGTCGTTGCCTTAGGACTGTAGTTTCAGTCAGACTGGATAATGGTTTTTGTAGTCTGTACTGTGTTGTTAGACACCAAGAAAATATTAAAATCACATTAACTCACCTTTCACTGATTATCAGTACTTGATAACTATGTCATTGCCAGTGGACTATTTCAGGATCTACTATAAAGTAAAAAATGTTGGCTTTTGTCAAGGTATTCCCTGTACCTTTAAGAGCAAAATATAGCATGTACCTACATGGAGACATTTGTGTGATTCCAGCGTGTCCAGGCTCGTCAGAGCCACCTTAATGACCTTTCAATAACGTTGCAATTTCTTCAAACAAAAGCCTTTGCAATTTGAACAGAAATATGACTGACGTACAGGCAATGTTACTGAGTGTATAGGACAGCTTGGCTTTAATTGTAGCTGTTGCTCAGAGGTCCAACCTTTCACTTGTATGCTGTATTTAAAAGTGTGTTTATCCCGAAGGTTTTCTTTGAAAATTTTAACTTTTTGTTTTTCTGAGGATTGAGTTGTTATTTAAAGAATAGTCCCTGTTATTTTCTTTTCTTCTGGTTTATTGACAGCCTGAGACTGGCTACAGGTTTTACCCTCTCTGTACACATTTGTGCCATAGGAGCACAGTTCCCAAAAGAAGGAAGGTGATTCTTTACCCCAAGCAATAAACACCTCATGTTAAGCAAACAATATAAATTGAATGCAGTGTTTTAGCATCGTGAACATGCATGTTGGATCACTGCACTGGGATAACAGTTATGGAGGCTGGAAGGCTCCTCTGGAGATCATCTAGTCCAACCCCTTACTCAGAGCAGGATCACCTACAGCAGGTTGCTCAGGGCCGTGTCTGGTCAGGTTTTGAGTATTTCCAAAGATGAAATATCCCCATTGTCTCTGTGCAACCAGTCCAGGGTTCTACCCTCATGGTAAAAATGTGTTTTCTTATGTCTAAATGGAATTTTGTGTATATCAATGTGTGCCTGTTGCCTCCTGTCCTTTCACTGGATATCAGTGCTTATATTTAAGAATGCTTGTTTAAATCAAGACACTGCTTTTACCTTCTCTGTACATCAGAACTTAAACTTTTATCTGTTTCCATTGAGGTTATTGCATCCTTTGGTAAAATTCCTTTAAATCAGTAGCTGAGAAAGAAAGGACATTTCTGTTTTTCCTGGAAGATGCTTCCCCCTCCCTTGTTTCCAAGTCAGGAAGGCCTGTGGGCTCTAACTTGATGGCACAACTCTGTGCTAGCTCCCTGCTGACTCACAAAGTTGAGCTGAACTCTTAGGGCCATAGTGTTAACAGGGGCAGGGAGGTTAATTGCTTGTATCACTGCAAAAATCATGCTCCTTCCCACTGAGTTGGCTTTTCTGGAGCATATTGAGAAAGCTTTGTTTAAAAATGTGTATTAATGGTTTAGAACATGAAGTTACAGGACATAGCTAATTTTTAGCATTTATTATTTGAAAAGAGCAGAACCAAACTGTAGTGTAACTATGTGGATGCCCAGTCTTAAATTAGTGGTTATGCTGGTACTTTGCTGAGCAGAACTGAGCATTTTGTAGAAGATGAAAAGTAAAATAGTACCCAGCATAGATGAAGATTTGTAGCTTTTAGTAGGAAATCCTGCAGGGGGTTTCAGATAAAGGGATGGATATCGCCATTAATCAGAATATCCGTTTTTCAAAGTTTCAACCACTTATTTCTTACTACACTCATAGTCTATAGAGTAAAACAACTATACTTTACAGTTTTGGGGTCGTAGATATTCACAAGCATCACTGGGTGACTAAATACCATTTAGCAATGCAAGCCAGGGGTCTTTTAATTGACTCCAATACAGCACATTAAGGCTGATGTTAAACCATATCTTCTCCACTGAGGTTTGCAGGTAGTAAAATGAGTTCTGGCTGAAGGCAGGTGGCAGGTGTAACTCTCTATATGTAGATAAAATTATAGTAATTTGGCTTCTTATGACATTTTAGCTTTTAAAAATATTTTTTATAATGAGTGTAACGGAAGTAAGCAAGTATT